CGACAGCAATTAGCTGGAGCAGGACACACCGCGGTGCCGATCGCCACAGCACAAGGCCCTTCAGCACTCAGACACCGATCTGTGGAAAAGGAGGAGGGGGGGTCTAATTGTGTAATTGTATAATTTTCCCTCGCTGACGCCTGCGAGCACACAGGCAGATTTCATTACAGATTACACTGGGGCTCTTTGAAGGCACGCTGCCCCAGAGGGCCTGTAGGGACTCAAGGCAAACAGAGTCGGAGGAATGGCGGCCACGGAGCAGCGTAGCGTGGCCCGGCGTCCGGCTCTCTGCTCTCCTGCCAGGGTAAACAAGGAGGCTGCATAGCTCAGGAGCACAGATTAGGCTCTGTTAACATTCCTCCCCTCGACACACACATTGCCCTTTCACTTCACACAGGCTCTGAATGTGTACACCGCTTTCCGCACTGCAAAAAATGCTCCCTTAAATAACTCTTATTCATCATGTGAGGGCGGGCGATGGTTCTATCTCTGACCTTTTATTTGCTCTTCTGTCAGGTCCACATGATCTTGAAACTTGTATTTTACAAATGGGTTTTGCCATTTTCAAATATATTCTGAGAGGTCAAAAGTGGAGAGACTATTAGACAATTACAAGTCAAAACAGGTTAAATATTTTAATATAAGGACTGTATCATAGGGGATGAGGGTGGCTCATCTTTCACTGCAGTTTTTTCGTGGTACAGTTACTTTCCAAAGATTTCAAGACCTTGATTTAAGAATGCATTGCACTGTAAACAAATTTAAGGACAATAAATGACAGGAATTATCCATGATGTTCTGATGTTCTGAATGGTGACAATGCCCCTCTTAGGATATATTCAGGCATTTTAAACTCGAAAAACAAACTGACTTTGTGCAGTTTCTGCAACCCAAGTGGTTTTCTTTATGCTGCCTGCCAGAATAGAAATGCCAAATGTCAACCCCAGTTTGGTCAATACCATAACTCTATGTGACGGCCTGCTAAACCTTTACCTGCTCACTCACAGTAGATGCCTGAGATTTAAGTGCACAAATCTTGTGTCAATCTTACAAATTGGTCGATAATATCATTTGTGTGCAGCGTCGTCTCCACTGCGTCTACCTTCTCTGTCTTTCCAAAAAAGCCTTGGGAGACAGCTGAGCAAGTTTTGAAGGTTGTTGGAGAATGAGCTCATGACTGCAGCAGCTTGTCGTCTTTCTTTCTGTGTGTTTGTCTCTCCTCTGAGAACAGTCAGCTGTGGCCAGAAGCATCATTTCAACTGGCAGCTACAGTGACAAGTCAGAGTGACTCAACTCCTCAAATCTTATTTTTTTTGTGCCATCCCTTTCTCTTCTCTCTGCAATTTTCTCTGTCTTGCTGTCAATCAGCAAATGTTTTCTTTCCCCTCTCCCTCATTAATGGCCTGACTCTCTCACCATCTCCACATCTCTATTATCGCCCTCCCTGCATGTAGATGTTCTTCCGCTCACCGACAGGGACTCTACGTCTGGCTGTGTGGCTCGTCACATGGCTCCTTCCTGCTACAGCCGGCTAATTAGCAGTGGCTTAGCGGACATTAAGCAGCGATATGGGGTTTAACATTTCTGGGCTAATCCCTCTCCTTTTGGCCAGGAAATCGGAGCCTCGTATGTCATGAGGTAGACTTACATCCAGAGATTAGGTCTGGCAGTCTGAGGCTATTTACTGGCATTCAGGATGTCTGCAGTAAGCTGCTGCTGCTGCCACTTCAGCCCATTTAGAAAACACTCCAGGCTTTCACCACGAAGTGAAGCTGCGCATTCAAACACATTCGGGTTTTACATTGCAAGTCCACAGTGACTTTCAATACAAAAACAGCAACATGAATCTTTCTGCAGTGTTACTCTACAGCTTATTCAACTGCTTTCTTCTATAATCTCTCTGGATAAGAGCACCAGCTAAACGCCTTAAAGAAAAAGGCAATACTGTATGAATATGAAGCTAGATTACACTTTTAATCCGCCATCATCCGAAGTAAGCAGAATGCAGGAATTAAATGGTGAAAGTGATAGTACCAAGACAAAGAATATTAACATCATTAAATGATTGAGTGCTATAATAATAACAACTATTATTGGTCTTATTATTCTTATTTCAGAGAAAATAATTAGGATAAATTAGCAGGGGATTATTGATCTACACTATAAATGGGCCTACTCTTATTTTTCCAAGCACCAGCCTTAATAGCAGTGGTTTCTTGATTTTGACAGTCTGTCTTTCTCAAAGCTCTCCTTGCATGCTGTCATCAGCAACAACTGACTCATTAAAATACAAATTTATTTCCTGTCTTCTAACAGCGAGGAAATCCTTAACATAAAAAAAGAGAAAGGGAAAAGCAGCAGCAGCATCCCAAACCCTTAACAATTTCAACATCAACCGAAACCTCAACAGCTTAAATGGCATTTTTTGTTGTTGTAAAAATGAAAGAATAACGAATTTTAACATGATGTGTTTACTAAAAGCTTGCTTTGCTTTTATTTTGATTCTAGAGAGGTGACAATAAATGAGGGGAGAGACAGAGGCATGACAACAAAGGTCCCCAGCCACAATCTAACAGCAGACGTTCACTTAGTTGCCAGTTTAAATCCTATCTTTATGAATGTTATGATCAGTTTTTGTTAAATGTGGTTTAGAGAGGTGTTGATTCAACTGCATGATAATTTTGGAGGCTGCAGTTGCTAACAATTTCATATTTGTATCAATGAGTGTAGGCTAAATAACAGAAACACCTCTCTGTATAACGCAATGCGGTTCAACAGCTCCACAAAAGACATCCTCCATAACGACCCTATTAAAATTCTGTGTTTATTTCATTTACTCTTCTGTGGCATTTTTTGTTCTCTTTTTACAAAGGCCCCTTATCCTGGCAGGAGCCATTTGCTGTGCTGATTGGGTGAAACATTAATGATGACCATGCAGCATCTGGGCTGCTTCGGCAGCCACATTGTGAGCCACTGTCACTCTGAGTATTTTATTTTGAGTTGAGTGTGACGACATTTGATTTGGTCAGAGCTTTGTAGCAGCATTTACAAAGGGGCTTTGATTTGGGTTGGGCGTCCGCCTGTCACTTTGTCACCAAAACAGTTCCATATTTTGCTTCTGGCACCAATTTTTTCAAGCAGTTAAGGTGGACTGGGGTCCGAGACATGATGCACTGTCTGACAATGCTAGCATGTTATGCTGTTTTCCACTGACGCCTGCAGTCCACTGTCAAGATGTAGACTCGTCTGATCGAATCCTTCTTCTCTGAACTACTGTGAATTGTCAAAGTATGCTAACAGTTATACAATGTAGTGGAAAGTTAAGCATTTGCAATGGTATACACATAACTTATCCATCTCTCTTTCCGTAGGTTTCTCAGTTTCTGCATCAGGCCCTCTATTGTTTCCCTTGCTTCACTTGGATCCCATCATCTCTTACAATATTTCCATCATTTCATATATCTCATTTTTTTTGTCTATGTCTGACTGTTTGCGCCTCTCCTTCCGCTGTCTCCCTCTGTACGGTACAACAAAGGCAGCTCAGTGTGGCGTCTGGCTGGTCGAGAGCCCGCCAAGGGGTGGAGATGCTTTCTATGTCTCTGGAGTCATGCTAGCTGACAGTGTGGAGCGTGTAAAGCTGCCAGCAGAAGCATTTGCTCATCGTTCTTTGTTCACCTGCACCTGAACTCTGCACGTCTCCAAATGCCAAAACAGCACACATCACAACAGAGCGCTGAGAGGGGTGTTACCACTGGAGAACCAGCAGCTTTTGATCTGTGCGAAGGTGCCGTTTAGTTTAATGCTCTGGGGAGAAGCTTTAATGTGAGCACAGCAAGACAGTGAGCGGTTCTAAGAGTCATATATTTCCAATTACAGATGTAAAACTCCAATCAGTTGCATAAATCCAATGATAGTCACATAAATGCCAGTAAATGCTCCTTTCTGAGCAATTATTGTGGATCCTACTGACAAAATCTTTTATCACAATGACAAGTGAAATGAGCCCAAGTTTCTAAAATGCAGATAAATGGTTGACATAAATAATGGGAAGAGGCCATTTCTGTCCGACAAAACAACAGTATAACTACATTACACACTTTGCTAGCACTTTTCACTTGTTGATCGTGTCAGTTTGCTAATAATCTGGGGTTAGCAACACCAGAATTCCTAAAAAACCTGGAAGGTAAAGAAACTCAGAGGGCCTACAACCTTTGTAAGAACGGCTGGAAGGCAAGTATCATGTTTTGTTTGAAAGAATACTTCACAGCATTCTATTTAAACCATCCATCTAAGTTCAAGTTATTTTTTTAATTAAATAACAGTCAAGTAAATATGTATTATATATTTTGTCAATGTATTGAGTATACTGTTTGTACTTTATACTGACTAGGCTAGTAAAAACGAGTGAGTGAACTGATCCATATCCAGCTTTTGTTACTGTATGCACAACCTTCAAAATCAATATTTCCCATTTAGGGATGAAATATTTTTAACTGCTTAAAATATTTCCCTTTTCAATCAAAGGGAACTAAACTTACCCTAACTCTAACCTACTCACAGCAGTTAACAACTCCCACTCCCAGGTTCATGCATCAGTCTGTGTGGCAGGTGCTGCTCATTAAACTTAACGATGTAGCTCATGCTGCCATAATGGTTGGTTGGTAATCTAAATACTAAGTATATTGTTGCTAGGTGACAAAACAGCTGGAGGTTGCATTTTTCGTCACAATTTGTGAAGTTTGAGCTGTCAGTCTACTGATGAAATTAACAAATGGAAACAACAGCCCACTTGTATACCTTTTTGTTACCTTCCAAAGTAGGGATTGAATTATGAAAGTTAGGTTATTGACTTTGTAAAGATGTACTTTCACAAAATTTAACAAGATTGTCAGTTTAGCAGGAAATGCTCCAAAATATTGCCTTACTTACACCAAATTACATTGTTTAACTCAAAAAATGTAGTTTAAAAATAGTAATTAAGAATTCACCATTTCCATTACCTGCATCTTCTGGATCTTCATCATAATCTTCATCATCACCAGACGACAAAGAATCTTCAGAGGAAAAAAGAACATAAACAGAGGGGAATTTATATTTAGAAGAAAAGAAATGGTGGACAAATCTTATTTTGCATTTGTACTCATTCACCTGGACAATTTAATTTCAATAAAATGTGTTTATTCTTTAGACTACTTGAACCACGTTAACCATCAGATAACACGAGAATTACATCTGGAAAGCCAGTAGCCCGCAATTTATTTTGTGCAAAAGGAAAATAAAGAGAGAAAAAAAACAAAGGATTTTGTGCATGTTAAATTCCCAGTGGAGATTAAATGTGTTCACAAACAAGTATGATTAGACAAATGTTCACACAGATCCACACACACAAGTAAATGCATGAATGCATATTAAAACTGACTCTGCTCATTGAGAAACTCATGAATGAGTCTACAGTTCTCTGTAGCGTGGAGGCTCGCTCAGATATTTCAACCAAAACATTTCCACAGACGTTACAAATGAGAGGGTCATTAGTACTGCTCCGACATGCTCGTGTGTGTGTTCAAGTGTGCACACACGCATACAAAAACAACTCTTTCTATCTTTGCAACACACACTAACACTTGCTAACAGTTAGCGTGTCAGATGACGTATAATTATTCTCCCAGCCTCAGATAATGACTATTTAGATTTGCTGTATCACACATTTTCATGGCGGCGTAATTATTTTCAATCCAACCTTGAAGTTTTCTGGTTCAGCTGCACAGGTCTGTTTAATGAGAGCCAGCTGTTAACTCGACAACCCCGGTGAGCTAAAACTGCTCCTGAAACTCCTTACTAGCAGGTTTTACGCAGTTTTTTTTATTTTTTTTATTTGACACCTCTGTGCACGACTTCACTCTATTATTGTGGTGCAGCTCAGCAGAAAGAACCTAGTTTGACTTACAGTCTATATGAACTATTACTGTAGAAATGAAACCAACTTTTAGAATATATGTGAGCCATTACTGAAACTAGTGAAACCAGAGAAAAGCAGTGACACTTCAGACAATAAGACAAAGAAAATCTTTGTTTAGTATGTTAGCATGCTAACATTTGCTAATGAGCACTAAACACAAAGTATAGCTGAGGCAGTTGAAATGTTATATTTCAGTCTGGGAACAGAAGAATACTTTGCATATCTAAAGGCACGAGCGACAAAATCTCGGAACTAAAGTTGCTTATTTTCATACATTTTATATTGCAGATAACTTCTTTCATTCCCTCACATTACGGCCCCTTGCTTCCAACATGTGTACTGTGTGTGTGTACAGTATGAGCTGGCTGCTCTCTGCTGTCTGGATGCCGTCCAGGTACTAAATCTGATACCGCTACTAAATATCTGACACCTTACTCAAATATTTGAGGAAAAACACAATAGTCCATGTGTGTTTTAGATGGAGCTGAGGCTCAGTGTTTAGAGTAGTGGGAGGCATTAGGGGGGAGAACAGGATATTGTCGTCGCAGAGTGCAAAATGTCTGACTTCACAAGTAATTTAAACACGTACTGAGTGTTAAAATAAAATAAAATGTCTGACAATGGGCTGTGATGAATTTGCTTCCTGTGTGGTTTTTCAAGAAATTTCAGATTTTAATACTGGACATGACGAAGAAAGATGGATGTTTCTTTCCTTTTAAATCAGTAATGTGGGGAGTGTGTTTCCTTCAGTCTGGAGATGGTATGTGGGTCGAGGAAGAGAAGCTGTCCACCTCTGATCAGTCCTGGAAAAGGCCATTTTCTCTACGGCTTGCAGCCAAACACGTGTGTGTGTGTGTGTGTGTGTGTGTGTGTGTGTGTGTGTGTGTGAAGGTGGGGGGTGAGTTGAGAGGGAACGAACCCTCTCATTTCTTGCCACCCCATCTGTTTTCAATGATGAAATGTTTCAAGCTAATTGCTTTCTAATTAGTTGTCAATAACAGGCTCAGCTGGTGTCCATGAGTTTTATGAGGAAAAGCCGCCAGACTTTTAAGCTACTGCTCGCTGCCTTCTGACCCCCCCTTCCCCCTCCTCCCTCCTCCCCTCTTGCATTCCTATTAGAGCTCTGTTTGCATCACACACTTGTTTAAGACGTTACTCATCCCCTCATACGATAATGAATTTCACCTTTGACTGTGCATCAAGAGGGGGAATTTGTGTGAAACTTGGCTGGGTGTTAGCCGGTGAAAGTCTGTGCCGGTGTGATGCTGTAAATATGTGTGTGTGTGTGTGTGTGTGCAGCTTGGCAGGGAGCTAACCGGTAGTTGAAACTGAGCAGGAGGAAAAAGTAATAGAACTTTTCTCCTGAGCTAAGTTTTCACAGTTTTTCTACGAACAGCCGTCATGTCTGTAGCTGCTCGACAACATTTATTGATAGGAAATACTTTGATTCTCAGTATCTCTCAGACAGGCAGAAATTGTCTGTTTCCACTGGAGCTCTGTTAGAAACAATTAGTATGCCCATAGGTTTATATCTTTATAAGGACTAAGGATTTAAAATCACCCTCCTGTTGTTCTCACCTGTCACCCGGACAGTGTAGTTGCTGAGCAGCATGTTGCTGTGATTATGCCGGCACGAGTAGATGCCCGAGTCTTCGTATGACACGTTGATGATGCGCAGCATCCTCTGGCCCAGCCGTGTCCGGTTGCTAGGCACCAGCCCTGCGCCATCTTTGAACCAGACAATGGGTTTTGGGTGGTCTTCCTGGTCACATGATATTTCCAGGGTGTCCCCCGTGCCCAGAACATATTCCTCCAGGAAGGCTGTCTCGCTGGACACAGAGTCTGCACACAAAAGAAGACAGCGGGTTATGAGAAAGGTGTTCTGTTTTCAGCATGTGTGTATATATATACATAATATATACGTATACATCTTTCAATTTTAACACAAATGTACCAAAAGCTTAAATTTATAGATTACTCATGGGAGTCATTTTTTGGTAAATTCTAGTCATTATTTATCAAGTAAAAATCTCTGGTCCTGCTTCTGAAATGTGAAGACTTGCTTCTTTCCACCTGCATGGTTGGATACATAATTCTATATCTCTGTAAATTGAATGTGGTTTGGACTTTTGCTTTGAAATAAATTAAACAGCAAGCTAACCAACAATTAGATTTCTGGTACTTTGGTAGTAAATTGCTAGCAACAGCCAGCTAACAGTCAGGACACAATGTTGACAATACTGAGGAAGGAAAAGGCAGGTCAGGCGACATCTGTCTGTTTGCGACGTGTAAAATCAGAATAACCCCCCCCCCCAATATATATATTAGATATCTAATTATTATGGGTTTAAGATTTTGTATAAACACTGTCTTCCTTTTTTCACAGTATTATTAAGAGGTACTTGATAAACAAAGAGGCAGTGATGGAGAATGAATCGCCGACTCGCTGGCGAGCTATCAGCTAATTTGCTACGGGAAGTTAGAAAAGTGCAACTTTTTATTCCAACACGAAAAAGTAGACAGATCTGGGCTGTGTGGAAATGAACCTCCACCTACTCTTGAACCTTCCCCGTCAAACACCAGCTCATTTACTCCAGGAGCTCCATGTGGCTGCTTGGTTAGAGGCAGGGAAAAATCAACATGTTTATTAGCTTCACTAAGGATGCCGGCCTCATCTGAGAATGGAGGAGAAATGGAGGGACACTTCTGGATACTTGTGTTTCTACTCATCCTTCCATCAGAGGTGTCTTCATATCCAGACATCAATTACAAATCATGGCCAACAGGGAAAGACAAAAAAGACAGCCTCACGCACACTCTGGTCGCTCTGGCAACCATTCAAGTGAACGCCACGATGTACACAAACACAAGGACACTTATATGCACACAGAAGTATGCATACTTTCACACATGCAAGCATGTAGCACAAACAACGCTGTGGGGGTCTTTCAGTGAGCTGCTTGGGCAACAGAGCACACAACACACACTTGTTTGCACACACAAATGCACCCCCACCCACCCATGGGAAAGACTGAATGAGGTGTGTTAAGAGTGTGATTTATGATGGCGAATGCACTCACTGTTGACCTGCTGAAAGGGCAGCGGCCTTATAGAGGCTCGCTGACAAGCAGCGAATGTGAATGCAGCGCTCTCACAGACAGCCATGGAACTGAGATTAGGAAATTGGAGTTGAGAGGCAAGGTTGAAATCAAGAGCAGCCCAGACGAGACAATCTTCACGGAGAATACATAATAGGTGCTCTAAATTATAGATGGCCTCTTTCAATGTGAGGCAGGCTGCTGGTGCGGGCAAAACGCGAGCCAAGGAAACGAACGCAGACAGAGGTACTGTTTATGTGGGAGAATCAGAAGGTAGCGCTGCCAGATTCCCTTTGAAACATGTCTGTCTGTAGGCATATTGTCACTCCTCCAAACTCAATCTGCAGAGGCTGAAGTAGTACACAAATCTTTAAAGTGAAAGTAGTAATACCACAATGGAAAATTACTTCTCCATTACAAAAAGTAGTGTGTTAATGTATTAGGGAATAAATCCACAAACGTCAAAAGTAGAACAAAAAACCGTAACGTACTATTTTCAAAAAGTCACTGTCAGTGAGTAAAAAACATAGTTTTCCTCAGAAATGTACTGTAGAAAAAGTGAGCAAATGCAACGCACTTAAAATGTCATGTTCTTCTTCCTGTTTCATCTCAGCCTTGAATACTTCAGACACGCTTAAAGATTATCTTCAATATACTGCAGATCTTACGGGTCTTAATAAATTAAACTGAATAGATGAGTTGTGCATTGTTTAAACCCATTAAAATAACGGAGATGTTGAGGTAAGCAGTAATGTGCTTAACATGGCGTCTCCGCATGGCCTCTGGCTTTGACAACAATATTTACAACACCTTTTTTTTTTTTAAGCAAAAAGGCCCATTCAGGAAAGAAAAACACTGAGGCGATGGTGCACAGAGCATAAATTCAAGCCCAGCATGAATGGCTCTCTACCTTCGTGTATTACTTATGGCCTCTGTGAAAGAAAAGGAGAAAATAGGTCTTAGAATATCTTCAGGTCTTAAACATGGGGAATTGGGCTTTATGGGGTAGATATAATAATCTCCAGAGACTCATAGCTCACTTTGGCTTTATGGAGCCCGAGCACTCGAGCACAACCTCCTCTGGCAGCTCTGAATGAGCAGCAGCAGCATAGAGGCTTGACTTGAACTGTTTCTTTGTATAAGGCACTTCTTTCCTTCTTAAAGGGTTACTTCACCTAAAATTAAAAAATAGATTTTCTCACTTACGCCTAATGGTATCTAACAATGCAGATAGTTTCATTTTTACATGCTGAGGTTTTGAGATATTCCATTTTAATATTTTTTTTAATGTATTTTCTTTCTTGCCATTTGGGTGGACAGATCCTTTAAATATTAATCAGTATATTTTAAATGAAAAAGTAATTGCATTTTTGATTAGAATGAAAACTATTTTATTTGCAATAGTGCAATATTTGGCGCGAAATTAGCCTTCTTAAATCTGTTATTATTCTCTACATTTATATATGACATTACAGCTAACCCTTATTTTAATTAGCATTTGTTCATAGCAAGGCAAAGCAATGTATTTGTATGATCCTGGTTTAAAATTAATACTTTTGCTTTGATCCTGGGGAAATAGATAGGAGGAACGTTTGTGCACCGCTCGGATGTTTACACTACCAGAGGCTAAACAAATGCAATTTACAGGAAGAACAAAACAAAACAATATATATCCCTCATACATTAAAAAAACACCCATTTCTCAGGTGTCACACAAAAGAGCAAAGCCCCCTTTCTTTGGTCATCATCAATGACAAAATATCTGTTTCGGCTTCAGATCCTGCACTTTGAAATGCAGATTCGAATGTGGAAAAAAAGCTGCTTTGAATAAAAGTGGATTTGGTTTGAAAGGCTTCACTTTGTGCCACTGCACAACCTTTCAGGACAGATCTACCAGCCACTGAGCTTCAGTAGAGAGACTGTAGCTGCCTTGTTGTACCCTTCCAGTGGACGTCCTGTAATGTACAGTCACAGGTTTGATTGACGTGATTGACGAGAGACAGTTCTTTGAAATGTGGTCATGTAAGTGTGTCACAGTGAAATATGCAAAGAAGGGAATTCCCAATTTATAAGTGAGCTATTTAAATTCCTAAAGAAAAATTTCCAGCTGCTGTGTATCCAGCTGTGGAGGACTGTGCTGTACTGAGCAGCTCCAATGTGTAGAAGTGAATGAATGTGAAACAGAGCTTCAATTACTCACCTTCATGTACGTGAGTAAAGTTAAAAATATGAGTGTAAGTTGAAATCAAACAGGGCCAGTTTGTCTGTTGTGGTTCTGTGCATCTGACAGTGAGGTTAAATGAACCGGAGTCCTGGGAAGACTAGAATTATGTCCATATTTTGACCACAGGACGTTTTCCACAAACTCTCAAAGGAACTCAGGATCTTTACCTGCATTTCGACAGCACGAACTGTTCCAGTTGTAATTCCTGCCCCCCCGCAGAAATCTCTACTCCTGAAGGAATATTTTAGGTTGCCCAGGAACTATTGAATGGAGTTAGCAGAACTGAACTTTGCTTATTGATCAAACACAAAGCAAAAACTGCAACACCATGCATATGGCATTATTCAAACACCATTTATCAACACGACTGCTGAATGTACACATGGATTTACATTAACCAGGTTACTATGGTGCATGTAAACGGGTAGTTTAATTAACTGTTACCTGGTTTTACTGAGTAAACTGGTTTCTTGGGTGCCTGTAAATGTACTAAAGTCACACAGAACTTAAACAAAAGCATTAATGTGCTGCTGTTGTCACATGCACCATGATTCTGAAAGCTCTGTAATCCATTATTTTTATTCAAATGTTCAATTCTGTCCTCGTTGAAAATCATTTGAACAGATTCTGCCTAAAACAAATAACAAGAAATTATTTCAATAGAAACTGTTTTGCAAAATACAACTACTGAACAAACAAACAAACAAAAATTAGAATCCATTAAAGGTTCATTGATTTGGCTGTGGTCAGAGAAGTATCTGCAATAGATTAGGCCATTGGCCAACATTATTGGTCTAACCATACAGCAAATATAGCATGAATATGAATGAATGTAGTAGAAATGACTGTACTGATGTCGCAAAGAGAAATTCCTGTACATATTTTGTTCTGTGTGATTAAAATTCAAAGGCTTCATCTTTTAAAATCTTTCTTGTTGCCCCATGACAAACCTGTTTGATGCTAAAGCACTTCATGAATAAATCAGACCTGAAGTGATTCTCACAAAGCAGATAAATGAAAGCTCAGCTGCTGCATTCTGGTGCCGTCCAGCCTCATAACAACATCTAGACATTCCCGCTGTTTTCACGTCCGGCGTGGCATGTGTGATCTATCGGCTGCCTGGTGTGTGTGTGTGTATATGTGTGTGTGTGTGTGTGTTTGAATGGGGTGGGGGCACTCTCGCCGGAACCTAAGGCCAGCTGGAAGCAATGTGTGATATGTACTCTTTGACTCTGTGTGTAAATGTGAATGTGTCTGATATGTGTGCGTGTACGTATGAATCTGTGATTGTAAACGAGGAACAGTGCGTGTGCGTGTGTGTGCGCATGTGTGGTGCAGTACAAGCTGGACAGTCACTACATAAATCAAGAGGCCCCTGCCCTCCTGGCCCTTCTTATCCTCTCGGCTCAATATCATAACAAATAGCCCTTCAGAATAATATAAAGTCTCTCTTTGAGATACTGCGGCATGCTGTCCGTTAATGCGCCGCTTACAGACTCCATCTTTTCTGAGCATCTGAA